GCCACATGGACCATTTGAGCTATTAAAACTGCATGTGGTGAGGACATTATTGGACCATCAAATGCAGTTTCTGACACATGATTTCAATGTAAAATTTATTACCCAATAATTTCCTTTCTACTACCATTGTCTCCCACAATTTTGCCACGAAGAGCTTCCCTCTTCCTCTGAAATTTCTTAGAAGAGGTTCTGCATTGTAACATGGTGTAGCATGGCACTGTTTGTGCCTGCCACTTTAAGACCACAGCCAAGCAGCCAGCAGGTGCTTGATTGTGGCAGCCATTTTGACCCTGGCTGCCTATATAAATAGTTCAGTTCCCTACTGGCTGGTTAGGCAGCAACACTGCCTAGCTGGGAGGCTTCTTGGAACATCCTGGAGGTAAGGGAGGAGATGTAGGGGATGGCTAGGAGGCTGCTGGTCCTGGGCATGACCTAAAACTGCACCCTGCCAGGAACGGGTGGCCTGGTGGGGCTCTCAGTGGCACAGGAGCCCCCAGGAAATGCCAGGCCACTTACCACCCCGGTGAAAAGCGGGTTGGGGTGCCTTAACCCCAGGTCCCACAACCGGGTGGGTTACTTACTACTAGGGCCTGGAGGGCAGGCCCCAGGGGAGAGAGTGGGGCTAGAGACTCAGACCTGATTGAGAGAGTACCCTCAACTGGTCAATGCTGGGGCCAGGACCAGGATAGTCAAAAGGGCCAGGGGCCCACCACAAGGGACACCCAGAGCTAAGAGGGCCTGGGGTTTCTGACTGGCCTTGGAGGTGAGGTCAGGGCCTGTGTGTCCAAAGGTCCCAGGGGGACCACACCTGGGAGAGGAAAATAGTTTCAGGGAGCTAGATAGCCAGAATGAAGGCGGGGTAGGCTGCCTGAATGGAGGGATCTTGGAGGGGTCCTGATAGGAGGATTCTGGTGGCCCAGTGTGGGGCCAGTGAGAGTAACAGCTGGATGCCATCTGTGAGGCATGGGCTGCAGTGTAGGGAAGGTACAGAGCTGCAGATAGCACCCCCTGGCATCAGGGTAGGAAAATGGGCAGCCTCCCACCTAATTAAGATTAAATTAACAACAAGGCATGGCAGGTGGGAAGGAGAGAAAATTATCAGGTAAGGAATTTTCTATTCCACAGGCTATTGTTTCCTACAATTTTATGTTGCCTAAGATCTAGCAAATAGAAAAATATAGGGAAAAAGAAACAGGCTGAAGTTTTTTCTTTTTTTTAATTTCTTGTTAGTAAATACATATGCTTTCACAATACAGAACTTAATCCATCTGGCCATGAATAGTTAAGATGCCCAAAGATCTTGCCACTTCAAGTGAAAAGAAACAAAGAGCATGATTTTTTTTCCAGTTTGGTATGTCTAAAATAGATCTTTAGCACGGGACATGCCTCCAGATTATACCATTACTCTTAAGCAGGATATTTTTTTCAGCAAAATGTTGTGGATTTGGACAGGATGATGGAGGGATTTATTTTTGTGAAGCATGAAAAGTGGAAATTCACTTTTGGTAAGACAAAATTCTTAGAACTATATTGTAATTATGGGGCATGCCATGTGGTTCCTTCAAAGACAGAGCTTGACAGAGTCCATGATTCTAGCTCAGAGGTAGGCAACCTAGGTAGGCAACCTTTTCTAGCTGGGGTTGAGAATGACCCACCCCATATCAGAGGCAGGTGGTGGCTGAGTCTTAGTCCCCACGCACCCACTATCAATTCTTCCTAAGGCAGCTTGGGGAGAGCATGCACAGTTGGTGCTTGTCCCCATGGCAGCATGGGGAGACAGCCTGCAGCTGAAACCCACACTACTGAAGCCGCATGTCCGCTAGCCAGATGCAATGTTTCAGTGACCCAGACCTGGCCCCTGCTCTAGTTGAGATTATGATTAAGAGGGTATAGATAAACAAATAAAATGGTGCAACCCTTGCTACAGTTCAAAGCAAAAGGAGGTGCTTGTACATGTGACAAAAATAGCCCATTTTTGCAATTTAATTGCATCACGCTGTACACAACGTGGGGTATTTTTTACAACTTAAATGAGTTTATGTCGAAAACTAAACCATATCCTCACGTAGTTTGGTTTGTAACATAGATATTTATAACACTGCAGCCTTTTGAAAGCTCCCCCAACACTCCCCTTCCCTCCACTGCAGAAGAGGCTGGCTGAAGACAGAACTGGTGAGGGGTGTGGTCCTTCCCCCGCCACCCCAACAGAGCCTGCCTGCATCTCCTACAGCCTGGGATTGAGCTGCTGATGGGCTGAGCAACCCCTGAGCTGCGAGGGGCCCTGGTCTTTTCCTTCACTGTGGCAGTACCCCTTGGGGCCACCAAGACAGGCTGCTAGTACGCCAGATGCTGCCCAGCTCAGGCTCAGAAGAGCTGGATTGGACTGGCTGCTGCCTCTAAGCTGGGGAAGTAACTGCTCACTAGCCACCCACCCGGGCAGTCCTGGGACATGTAGCCACCACAGAGGGGAGGACTGGGACCACTTGCAGCTCAGGGCCTGCCAGTAGCTCACCCCCTGGCTATGGGAGAGGCAGGCAAGCTCCATGAAAAGGATCAGGCCCCTTGCTGCTTTTTTTTTTTTTTTTCCCCCCAGTGGAGCCTACCCACGTGACCTGCCAGTGGGCTGCACACTGCCTGAGCTGTGAGGGGCCCCAGTCCTTCCCTCTTCAGTGGCAGTGCCCCCCAGGGCTGCCTGGGCAGGGTGGTAGCGGGCAGGTGCTGCCCCATCTCAGAGGCAACACCTGCCAGATCCAACTCTTCCCCTGAAGAGTTGGATCCGACAGAGTACTGCTTCCAACTTGGGGCAGCACCTGTCTGTTAGCATCCCACCTGGATGGCCCCAGAGGGCACTGCTACTGCAGAGGGAAGGACCAGGGTCCCCACAGCTCAGAGTCCACTCGGCCCGCCGCAGCTTGCCCACAGCTGTAGGAGATGTGGACAGGCTCTGTGAAAAAATAAATAAGTAAATAAATAAAAAGGATAGAACTCATTTCCATAACAGCAATGGAAGTCCCTAAATCGTCACAATTAAAAACCCACCTAAACGTTTCAATTTAGGTGACTAAACCTCCTGATCAGGTTTTTCTCCACTGAAGTCTGCCTCCACAGGATGAGATGTCCCACCACACTGGTCTGACTCTGAGTACTGTGCTCTGTGTAGGTTAATTGACTATGATCTGTAAATTGTACCTCATGTATAAAATACTGTCATGGTGCGGGGTCCCCAGGGATAGCCATGATGCCCTGGGGGCTCTGTGATCATGTCAATTCTGCCTCTGCAGGCACCTTCTTTTCTTGCCTGCCATGTCTTGTTGGTATAAATAACAAATAGGGAGGCTGCCCATGAGTTTCTGCATGGTCATGGTCCTCTTGGACCCCACTAAACCCTGTGGGATCTTGGACCCTGTGAGGAAAGAGAAGAGCCCCGGAGAAGTAAATTGGTCCCACCTGAATTGCAAAGAACCTTGCAGGGCTCATTCTTCACCTGGTGTTTCAGGAGGGGAGGAGGAGTCAGTCAGAACTCCAAGATAAAAGGAGATCCAGGGCAGGCAAAAAGGGGACACCAGAAACTGGAAGTGGCTGACTCGGGCAGAGAGACGGCAGGGATGGCCGAAGGCACTGAGAAAGCAATGGAGATCGGGTTTAAGAGAAGCAGCTCTGAAAAAAATGCCCAGAGAGAAACTGAAACTGCCACGGGACACTTAGAAGGTACCATAAAGACCCTAATAGCAGGGCTGAAGAAAAAGGGTACCTTTTTGTTAGAGTGAGAGGGAAGTCATCCCAGATAGATAGTGCGTTTGCGACTATCGGAACAATAGGCCAGTAAAAGAACTGGCTAGGATTAATGGCAAATCTGTGCAAGGCTCCAAGCTGGGTGAAGGACAACCGGGCCCTTTGGGACTATTGATTGACCAGACCTAGAGACCTACAGAGCATTTGTACTGCTCGGAGGCAGACTGCCAATTCTACTTAATTAACATCTGGTGGAACAGGTGACGGTGTAGGGATTGGTGGAGCCCTCACTACACTAAAACAGATTTCAAGAATGAGAGCGTCAAAGCCCACATTCTATTTTCTCCCATAACAACAAGTTGTGGCAGGAGAGATTGTGGACATGCGGCACAGTCCAGCAAGATGTTGCAGTGGACTTCGGCCTGCTAGCCGAGATGCTAAAACTGTCTTGGTGCAGAAGACAGAGTAAGAAAAAGGAGGGAAAAAAAGAGAAAACAGCTCAGACAAGGTGAGGAACAACAGAGATTGACAACAAAAATAGAACGATAGAGACAAGCCTCTACCCCAGATAGGGGCAGGGTTTGGGGGTGAAAGCCTGCCACTGGACAGACCCCTTGCTGGGTCTCACCGTAAGCTAGTGCCTTACGAAACACTCCAAGCCTTATGCGCTAGATTCGTGGCTCCAAAACCTCCCCTTTACTACACCCCATACCTCTCAGGTGGTATATGAATATGGTCTTACTGATAAGATTTCGTTTGGGCCCCTGTAACTGCACCCTTCTGGTGCTGAGCTCTGCGGGCCCTGCGACTGCACCCCTCTGGCACTGGGCCCTCTGTAGCCCTATAGCTGCACCCTCTCCGGCACTGGGCCTCTA